ACCCCGTGATAACATGGGGCATATATGTCACCACAGACCCCAACTGCCGCAGGACCATGGACCCAGACATGACCCTTGGCAGCAGCTCAGGGCCTGATGTCATTATGGCTTGGTGGCAGCACAGGTACTCAGATTAGCATACCCCTGGTGGCAGCATGGCTCCCGGTGTACCAACGTGGTTCCAGGTGGCTGGCTAGACCCTGGACATCTCTAGAGCCCTTGGTGACCACAGGAGCAGTAGACTCCACCTGGCCTCGACAGGGCTGTACACCCAGACATGGTTCTAAGCAGTGGTATGTAGTTGGATGTCTCCATGGCTCCAGGTGGCAGCACCAGCCACTCCCACCCCGATCAGCATCGACCCAGGTGCAGCACAGTCCTCAGATACTGACATGGTCCAAAGTGGACGGCCAGATCCTGGTCATCCACATGACCCTTGGTGACAACAGGATATGGAGACAGCAACTCAAATCCTAGCTATTGTAGGGCCATGGATCCAGATATAGCCCTCTGTATTAGCCCTGGCCTGGAAGACACCATGGCCAGGAACTGGCAGTCTGTCTGGGCCTGAATTAGTGGTAGACACAGATAGCACTCCACCCTCCCAGACTTTTGGGTCTTTGTGATTTTTTAATGGAGGCATTAGGAGCTGTAAATCTCCCTTGTACTGTTTTCAATGTGTCCTAGAGGTTTAGTTATGTTGTGTTTTCATTTTAATTTCGTTCCAGGAATTTTTAAAATTTCTTACCTGATATCTTTTTTGGCCCATTCATTATTCAGAAATGAATTGTTTAGTTTCAGTGAGTTTTTGTAAATAGACATTTGATTGCCGTCAATCTTAAGTTTTACTGCATTGTGTTCAGATAGGATACAAGGAGGGATTTCCATCTTTTTTTGAATTTCTAAAAATTTGGTTTGTGTCCCAGCATGTGGTCTATTTAAGAATAACTTTCCCGAGGATCTAGTCTCCAGAGTGAGTTCCAGGACAGGCTCCAAAGCTACACAGAGAAACCCTGTCTCAACACCCACCCACTAAAAAAGAATAACTTTCATGCCCTGCTGAGGAGAATGTGTTCTTTGTTGTTTGAGTAGAATATTCTGTCAATATCTGCCACATCAGCTTGATGTATGATGTCAATTAATTGTGATTTCTATTTTTTGTTCAGATGACCTGTCTATTATAAAAAGTGGTATATGAAAATTACCTACTATTAATGGATTGATGTTAATCTATGTCTTTAAATCCAGTGATAGATTTTTTTTATTAAATTGGGCACCTCAGTGTTTGATACGTACATGTTAGGATAGCAATGTCCTCTTGGTTAGCTGTTCACTTGATTGGGATGAAATGTCTCTTATCTTTTCTGATTACTTTTAGTTTGATGTCTATCTTGTCAAATATAAGTATAATGACTCCTGCTTCATTCATGGTTCATTTGAATACTTTAGTCCATTCTCTTACTTTAAGACAGTGCCTATATTTAAAACTAAAATGTGTGTGTGTGTGTGTGTGTGTGTGTGTGTGTGTTTTAGAAAACTGATTAAGGGATTTCTGTCTCTTGATCCATTCAGTGAGCCTTTTAGTTAGAGAATTGAGGCTACAGATACCTAAATTTACTATGAAAATTTATGTGTCAATTGTGCATATCATGTTGTTGATTTTGGGTGGTGTTGTTTGTGTTCTCATGGTATTTTGTGTTTTAATAATTGTGGCTTCTCATTTCTTTCAATAGCCTCTCTTCTAAGCTCATTTCCCTGTAAGCCTGAAATAATGTTTCCTGTATTTTCTTTAGGCTTGTTGGAGATATCTATCTATCTATCTATCTATCTATCTATCTATCATCTATCTATCTATCGTCTATCTATACACACAGACAGACAGACAGACAGACAGACAGACGGAGAGTTTCTTTCTGCTTCAATCATGGCACATAAATGCCTTGAATATATTAGTCTAGGTTGGTCTCATGTTTTGGTGTTCTGTGGGTTTCTTGTTTTTGTATGAGTATGTCTTTCCTTAGTTTGGGGAAGTTTTATCCTATGATCTTATTGAAGATTTTATATACATCAAACCGAGTTATATGAATACTTATTCTCTTCAAGGAAACTTTATACACTATCTCCACATTGAATACCATGCGAAGTATTCTCCAATATTTGTGATACAGTTACAGTGACTTTTCCTAGGGGGGTCTGTCAATAAATGTCTGTTTACTTAGATAATCATGAACATACAAAAGTAAAGATTCCTAACCCTAACCCCTAGCCCCGACCCCCTAAACCAAACTTTAGCCCTATAACCCTAATCCCTAAACCTAACCCTAACCCCTAATCTTTCACTTTCATTTCAATTCACTTTCATTTCAATTAGAAGTTGATGGGCATACTTTTAATAGATGGTATTTTTCCATAACTTATAAAGCAAAGCAATAAAAGATATTCACCTATTACAGAGCCAGGCTTCAAGTTAGACCCCTTTCCATTGTATCCTTTGCTCTTTAACAGATACACATTTCTCTATGTTTGTTTCAAAAGTGAGAAAAAGTTTACATCTTTTAAATTTTGTGCCCTTCTTTGCCATACATGAGATCACAGCACACTCAGTGTAAATACTTTTTTCTTCCCCTTAAAACTTTATGGTATAAACTCCTCATCAATCTTCAGCTAATAGTTTAAGTCAATTTTCTGTGACAATACTAATAACCAGAAAAAAATGAAGAAGTCACAATACAAAAATTTCAACAGTTATTAAAATGTGTACTGACTCTGAAGATTGCTATTATCTTTCAGAATTTCGATAGTTTCAGCATACTATGGTACATGTATCAGAATTTATAAACTATTGATTTGAAATGTTACACCTGTATGGAAAATGAAGTATTATAAGATGGGATCTTAAACTTTTTTGCTGTAAGCAGGCTGGGACTCAGGGACTTTACATGACAGACCAAGAGGTTGATGGGCTATTACATTTTCTCTAGAATATTTTCTTCAACTGCAGAAATTGAAAAGCAGTGTTGCATTTCAAAGTCACTATTTCAGCATGCTCTGGACACTGTCATACAGAAGTCTGGGTTCATTAGGTCTTCTTGCTTGCCTTAATGACCTGCTGTCATTGCCCTGAAATTCTTTATCTTTGAACAAGAAATTCCACATTTTCTTTTCATACTTGCTTTCCCATATTATATTGACAGTCCTATTGTGGAATGTGAGGCAGACTTCTGTGTGGATGTTTATAGTCACTCCCAACTGACTTTTGTACTCACAGAGGTGAGATTATAGAAGTGTCCTTCTTGTATGCCCTACAAACATGGGTATTAAAGAAAATTACTTTTGTTGCAACTTTTATTACAACAATCTTCTATCATGGTTGATTTATTTTATTTTTATATTGTCCACTACAATTCAGTTCTATTAAATATCATGTTAATTTTGATACTTAAACTTCTGCCAGTGAGATTTAGCTTTTTCAGCGGTTATATTGTGAATTAAATATCTGAGGTTCTAATAGCCATTCAAGTATGATTGGTCCATAAATTATTTAAGAGGCAATTCTATCAGAGAAATTCATGTACACATGAAAGAAAAGTATAATATGATGTTTGAGATCTAGTATTTTTTTGTTTTTTGTTTTTTTGAAACAGGGTTTCTCTGTATTGTTTTGGAGCCTGTCCTGGAACTCTCTCAGTAGACCAGGCTTGGTCTCGAACTCACAGAGATCCATCTGCCTCTGCCTCTCGAGTGCTGGGATTAAAGGCGTGCACCACCACCACCCGGCTCGAGATCTAGCATTTTGACTCACCAGGAATGTATGATAACAATAACTACTCATTAAATTCTTAGTGTCTGGCAATTATAACTGTGGGACATGAGTATCTATTAAGTCCTGTAAGACAAGATGGAAAGTATAGAGGCAAAGAACTCATTTCTCAGATGATAAACACTGTAATTCCTACAGTGCATGTGTAGCACCAAATATTAAGAAACGTGTGTCCAAGTTCCAGTACATTGTGAAATTTCCTAAGCATTTGGGATTCCAGGGATACTCCATATTACAAGCTGTCTGTAAAATGCAGAAGTGAAAAAAATGACTTCTTTTCTTTTGTCTTCTTGAGGCAAGGTCTTCCTGGCCTACACTCATGAACTCAAGTGATCTTCCTGCTCCTCCTGCCTCCAACCCTCCAAATAACTGTGACAGGGATGTGTCAATGTACCTGGATTAAAAGAGACTTTCTTGATGTTTATGGAGGCTGGTCCAATTATTTAAACTTTAGGAATGTGACAAACTATTGGTGTTACTACATAAGAAAAGGCTAAGTATCAAATATACTTGTAGGTCCAACCTCCTAAAACAAAAGCAAAAACAGTAATTTTTAGAAGAGGGAGAGATTTTTTTAAAGACATCTGTTTCTAATGTTTTCTGTTCCAAATGTGAAGAGGCAACCTCAGCCAGGCCCATAAATTGATCAGTTATATGAAGAATTTTATTTTTTACTCATTAGTACCTCACATAGACCCATGCTTGCCTGTTTTCCCCCTGTACCCTGTAAAATGAAGCAGAATCAAAACAGATGATTCCCAGAGCAGCTAGTTTACTATCACTTATAGTGTACCCAGTAAAAGTGACCTCCCTCAAGTTTGATAACTGAGCTATTTCCTATGTAAAAGAAAAAAGGATTACCTCCAAAAATGAAGCTTCATTATCCTTTCATTAAAACAGTGCTTCCTGAATCAATACATTTCCACTTGAATTCAGCCAAGTGCATCTTCCTGCCAAGATACACTTTAAGGAAATATTATGAGTAGGAAAGGGGGAAAATAAAGTTGATACACATCACATAACAGGAGTATGCAGAAACCATTCCATTTTATGTTTAAATAAGGTCATATAGTGGGTAAAAATATATATCATATAGAAGTTCCTATACTTTTTATTTGTTATAAGTATAAATGAGAATTGCATACAGAAAAATTTTAAACTAATAAAAATTTAGCATTGATGAAATGAACAAAAGACAATCAGTTTATTTACTGTAAAAGTTTTGCATTACAATATGGTCAAGATAACAATTATTAGTATCTGGTTATTTCCTTAGCAATGGAGTGCCTTCCACAACTACTGAGTGCATGATCAGATCACAGAAACAAGCATATGCCATATGGAGTCTCCTTTGTGAATTCACTTGGGATTATCTACAGTAAAAAAGTAAAAAGAACATCAAACAATAAGTTCATAAGAACATTCTAAACTCAACACAAATGCATGTTGTTTAATAATGTCTCTGATTTTTGGATTTTTAAATAGCAGAAAGGCATTTCTTAAATTAGTCTTTTAGTCATGTTTTCACATGGTATTATTATTACTAGATAGAAACACTGCATGTCATTGAAGCCCCAAAGGCATAATAATAATGGTAGGAATAACTGAAACATTACAAGAATAATCATACAGTGTAGAAATTAGGTTTGACCACACGCAACACAAACTTTAACATGGGAAGGAAACACAACATCAGAATCATGTCTTCATATGTGAATAGCCATGCAAATAAAAACACTGAATATAATACAAAATGTCATAAAATATTTTCAAAAAATGCCAGGCGTTGGTGGCTCATGGCTTTAATCTCAGTGCTCAGGAGGCAGAGGCAGGCGGATCTCTGTGAGTTTGAGGCCAGCCTACTCTACAGAGCAAGTTCCAGGACAACCTCCAAAGCAATACAGAGAAACCCTGTTTCAAAAAACCAAATTTCTTTTCAAAAAATTGTTTTGATTGACTCTAACAGTCAAACCATTGAGCTTAAAAGTTCTGTGCCAGTAACATTAAAAAGTATGCCCTCTAATTTGTTACACAATAATAGCTAGGAACCCAATGATTCCTTCTGTAGACTGAGATCTGTTTGCCTCTGCTTCCCAAGTACTTGGACTAAAGGTGTGTACCACCACTCCCCCAATAATTCCTTCTGTTTCTCCATTACAGATAAATATTGGTCAACACTGGTGTCATTGCCTTCTGATACTTAAAATTACTTTTCATTTTACATACCAACCCCAGTCCCCCCTCCCTCTTAAATTGGATTTTTAAATAAAAAGCATACATTTACTCCAAGAAGTATCAAATTTGCTTCTCAGTGGTCTCACAGTTATGAGCAGTGACTGATAATGAAAGGTAGTTAAACATAAATTCCCAGCAAGCATTGTAAAGCAATTAAACTCCAATCTCAGAAATCATCTGGTTCATCAAGTCATTAAAGCTTCAGTTCATATGTGGCAGATTATTAAACAACTCCAGCTGAGGGTATAAAAATACACTTAAGGGATAAAGCCATGCATTTCAGTATGGAAAAGAGACCCAATGCATGTAACAGCCTCCTTGCATTCCTAATGAAGAGATCACAATAGGAGTAAAGTTTCTATGTAGAATCCATGTTATGGATATGGGAAAGCTTATATGATGTGTAATATTTCATGCAAACATACTCTTGCCTACAATAACAGAGGTTAATTGCTTGTGCCTTCTCATAAACAGATTGTCAGTTCTGAAAAGGTTCAAAATCAAAGAGCATATTTTAATACAAATTATCTCTTTAATTAAAACCTTGAGTAACAAGATGAAAGAGGTGTCTCAGTTGAAGCTGTTCAGGTATTTAAATAAAAGAATAAGGCTACAATATATCAGGGACTTTGGTAGCTAAATGGCATTTACATAAAGATGAATTTAATTTCAGACAACTCATCTTGGGTTATTATTACAGAAAATGGAAATGACCACTTAGGAGCTAGGACACTGATTTTGAAGTACGTACTTATTTCTCAGCATTGGCACTGGCCATACTGACCAGCATGACTTCAGTTCGGCAGCTTTTTGCTTTATTTGAAAACATAAATTTTGCAGCTTTCATGCAAGCTATTATTTTAAATCAATCTGATTTATTAAAAAACAAAAGTTTTAAACATTGTGGACTTTACAAATGTACTTATATGTACAGTATCAGTTCATTTGTGACATCCTTGGATTGAATGAACAGGATTCTATGTGGGGAAATCCATCACTTTTTTTTTTTAGGGTTTGTTTGTTTTGCAGTACAGTAGATGCTACCCATGGTCTCACACAGGTCCAGCAAGCTCCCCATTGCTGAGTCACACCCTGTGATTGCCCACTGATTTCTTCATAAGAAAGATTACATCTTTTGATTGACTAATACAATAAAAGTTGACATTTATCACAGTAGAAAATATATTTGATTTATTCATACCATTATTTGTAATCTGTGCTTGGTTAATGGAGAGGATTTTATTCAATATAGTGTATAAGGGAATATCCACATTCTTAGCTAGTTTAATAGACCAATTGTTCATGCGTATTAATAGAGAAGGACTTATCGGTATTAGAACACGTTCTACATCATAGATAAAGCAAATGTTAAAGATAGAAAATCTTTATAAGTAAATAAAATTTAAGAAGTAGTTGCCTCCTCTAAGAGACAGCATACCTTCTACTTATGAAGCTTTTTTAAGGATATTTGCTTTTTAGACTCTGACACTGAAGTTCTCTAAAGTGAAATTGCTATAATCCAGACAACTTTGAAGAACTCCTTTTATAAAAGAACAAATACCTTAGAAAATCAAGGTTGTTATCCTAGTTCAAAAGTAAAAATATTTCATGACCAATCAGTAAAAATAAATATATTTTAGATTTTAAAACAAAAAAATCATAGAATTGTGGGCTCCTAGAATAACATATTATTGCAAATTGGCTATACTTACAAGACCACCATTTTAAAACACAAATCCTTATAATCCAATGATTAATTTTCCACTATTAAAAATCTCTTTCCTACAGGTAATACTAACCCTTTAAATTTAGTCTTATGGGATATGTAGCTGCGCTCTGTCATTTGTTAAGTTCTGTCATTTGTTGGACCGCATTATTGTACCTCCTCTCCTTTAAGCATATATAAAGTATATCTTCCAAATAAGTCTTTTCTTCATTCCTTAATAGATTTATATTTTCTAGAAGTTTTCAAAATTCCTTTTACCTCCTCCTCTTTTTCATACAGAATTAGATATGCAAAAGGTTCATGTATCCAAATGTTTTTTATGTTCCTAAACACTTAGGTCAAATACAATTTATTGCTTCTTTTTATTTTACTATTATGTGTTAATGAAAATCCCAAGTGGGAAACCATTTCTGCACTAATTCTTCTATTTAGTTTTGTATTGTAATTGTGCTTACATTAAAAAAATGTGGAAACCAGTAAGATGGTTCAGCAGATAAAGATGCCTTGCACTAGGCCTGATAATCTGAATTCAATCCTTGGGACCCAAATAGTTGTGGGAGAGAAGCAACTCCTGCAGGTTTTCCTCCAACTTTCCCACACATGCTGTGGACATGCATGTGTGTAAGTGCATGCATGTGCACATACACACACATACACACAGTAAAACGTAATGAAAAATTTTACAATAGTTGGTTATTTTGCTAACTAATCTTGAACATAACCTCTCACCTTTGTTCAAAATGTTTACAACAATTAGCATTTGTAGTGTTTCTATAGTTTGTATTTTAATATCGAATGCACCTTCAATTATTCTTACTGAGATTCATAGTTTTTGTTTCATTAGTTTTTACTTTTTCTGTTTCTTTTTACATCCCAATATTATCTTTACAGGTATTCATTTTTATCAGCACTATGCATTTATTCATTGAACATGTCTGTAAGTAAATAAATATCAATATGGCTCAGTTTAAACTATACTAAAAGATGTGTTACAACATAAATAAAACTCTTACTGCTTAGAGATTACCACCTACTTTTGTGCTGAAAATGAGAAATTCATTTCAAAGTTCATATATCTTCTGGGCAAAGTTCTTTTAACATTAATATTTCATAGAATTAATATCTCAAAACAAACATAAACTCAATGCAGTTATGTCAACAGTGGCTACACAGAGAAGAGATCCATTGTTGAGTTCCCAATCCAAAGACACAAACTCATTCTGGGGTATTTATTTAAAAGGCATGTTATCCCTTAGGTCAAAGTCAGCTTAGCAACTATGACACATCTTCGGTTTCAACTCATGCTTCAGAAAAGGTAAAAAGAAAAAAAAAAACAGAGGAAATTGTCTTTAATTAAACTCTAATGAAAATCCATACTGTCTCACTAATATTAGCACAAGGCATATTTAACAACAATAAATGAGGAGAATGTACAGGAACAACAAAGCAATACAGGCAGGAGCAACTATGTAGAGATTCTGATTGATTAGAACTCCAATCAGGGTCTGTTTTGTGTGTTAATGTACTTTACTTGCATCCCTAAATTTTGGCAACTATTTCAACTTTTACTCCAAGTTGCATAAGAAATGACACAAAAACATAATTCAGATAAGGAACACAAAATTTCTGGGTTGCTTTGGTAACCATGACTGCTACTCAACAGGAACATAACATAAAAACAAAGTTCCTGCAATGTGCTTTGTGACTGACTGATGACCTTTGATGGAGTGCTTCATAAATGTGCCACCCCTTCCGCTCCACAAGCTAGGCAGCTCCGAAATCTGTTGTTGTCTTCCTACAGTGCTAGTCATCTTTTTTGCTAACAGTGAGGGCCAGTTTTGTTTGGAAGAGAAGTTAAAGATACTGTTACATGAAAAAGTAAAACCTTTATGGTTTTATGTAAGTTAAGGCTACCTGACAAGGACAAGGAGTCAGGGTTAGGCGCAATTATGTGGGCAGCACTTGAAAACTGAGGAATCAAAGTTAGACCTTACAGCTCAAATAGCTGTTGTCCTTGTTTTCTCAATAATGCAAAACCTAATTTTTTCTATGAAATTCTATTGCCTTAAATAAAGTCATAAAAATTACCTAACAGAATCCGTAAATTAAATAAGAATATGTCTTATCTCAATATAATATGACTGTAGGCACCTGAGTGTTTGTTAAAAATAGACAATGAGCTAAGGTTTATTATTTCTTTTTTGGCAAGAAAGATTCATTGTGAAAGAAACAAACAACAAAAGCATACACTTTCTGCATAAATTAACAAGCCAAGGCTACCTTACAACTATATATGTGTATATTTTTGCATTTATTGTGATCCCTTTTAGTGGGAAACACATAGTAAGACCCTAAATTTGGAAAAAGTTTAAAAAAATTTGTGGTCATTAAATAAACACACCATTCATTTCCTTCAAGTAATTTGCCCTTCTTTAATACGACCACATATACACACATACACACACTCACACAGGAGCAGCACCAATATATCTACTCAATTGCAATTTTGAAAAATTAAATATACCATCAAAACTTGATTAAGTCAATGAATCATATCTTTGCCTCTTTCTTAGATATACTTAATAAATGTCCAGTGAAGAACTCTAGTTTAAAAAACTAGCAATTAATGAGTTACTAATTAGAAAATAACTGCATAAAGAGTATCCATGTAGCAGCAAAACAGTTATTGTTAACATTCTGATGCACCTCATTTGTAATTTTCTGCAAGAAGAAGGACCATAATCTTGCCAGTTCCAAATTTTAAACTAAATTAAACTGAGCAAACTATGATTACTTAAAATAAATGAATTCCGCTTACAGAAATTATCTTTATAAACACAAACCATATAGCAAAGAAAATAAACAATAAATATTAATGAAAATATTGGAATAAACTCCTATGGCTGACTTTGAAGTATAGGGAAAGATGATTTTATAACATATTTATTTTACATTGTCTTGGATCTCTTTTATGCTGTGGAGGTAAAGCCAGATATCTGAGATACATGTTTCATTTAAATTTCAAGTGAACAGTTGCCATTTGATTGCAGGTGATCTGGGACTCAGAGAAGCCATAAATTGATCACACCAGATTCAATACATCATTTTATTCTTCTGAACTCTCTCCTCTTCAAAAATGATGGACTGTAATACATATGTACATCTACTCTCCAAGAAGACAACACCTGCTAGATCTCAAGCAGTGTCCTCAGTGTGGCTAGAAAACCTTCAGCCCAGACAGTCATCCATGAGAGATGAAGACTAGGGGTAAGGAGGCTTGGTGAGACAATGGAGAGGAGCACACTGTGAGCTGGAATGTGGCTGCTCCTCAGGGAGGGCAATGTTCGGACTGAAAATGAGAAAGAAGGCAGTTAGTGAAAAACACACTGGTAAACAGTCATATACACTGTGATGGTCAGACAAATTATTGCACTATACATTGTAAACACATAAACAGAAATTTTGTGAAGAAAAAATTTTAAATTCAAAGCATGCCAAGAAAAACTCGGGTTTTAAAGCAAAGCATGAAAAAAAGAAAAGTAAAGAGAAACTTAACTTTAGGAATTGATAAACTAAGTTGTCCTCCAAGCCAAGTATTCAGTCTTTGCAGTCTCCAACTACTAGATCTCTGGGTTGGTAGTACAGTGTTATTGGGTGAGTCCCTCTCAAACTTATTATGGGTACAAGTCACCCAAAGATCTTGGTAAAGAAGGTTTTGAGTTAGTAGGGCCTGTAACTGACTCTAGAGTCTGCATTTGCAACATGCTCTCTGTGGTTCAGATGGCCGTAGCCAATGGACTAAGACATTAACATTTATAAGTATCTAGAGTTTACTAAGGAGACTCAGAAAGATCCATTTGCTTGTGAAGCCTAGTTTGCTCTTAGGGTTCCTCCACTTTGTTTTGGTAGTGTGAAAAAAAACTGATGACTTTTATGCCATTTTACATTTGTTAAGTAAATGATGTGGTCTTCTAACAGGCCACCTCAGAGAATCTCCAGTTGTAATGAACCGGGTCTCAGACTCGTCAATGTCTTGATAAATAATCTCAAAGAATAAAGTAGCAAAACCATTAGGTTTCCAAGGGTAAAACTACAATATATGTTTGAGTTGATATCCTTTAAAATGTAATTATTAACAGGGAAAGGGCACCATGGGAATTTTAAAATTGGAAAACATGTTCTAGTTCCCATTTTTATGAATTTAGTATCATAACTCGTTTCCATTGGAAGTGTTTGTCATAACTATTCAAAGTTTATTATTTATTTATTTTAAAAACAATATTATCAATGGATTAATTAAAAATTGGATTAAACAAATACTTTTGAAGCTTTGGCATTGAAACTGTCAATCAGATGTATCTATTGAACATTCATATAAAGTCATAATTAGGAAATATTTAGTGAGAAGTTACTTCCTTCCTGAGCTCTTTGAACCACTGTAAATTTAGTTTAAAGGAAACTGATGTCCTATAATGATTAGGATGACCAAAAATAAGAATTATTTTTCTTATTTTTTTCTTTTTGGTGATTCTTGATAAGAAACACAAGACTTCATACAGTTTAGGCAAGCAGTCTGTGACTAAGCCACAGCTCTAACTCATGTGTATAAAATGTAACAAATGCAAAATGGTAGAATAAGGACCAAGAAGGTAGTGTAGGGTTTAATCAGTTAAAGGAAAAAAATCAGTGCTGGGCAAGGTTATCCTTAACTTCCCAATAGTCAATGGTTAAGGAAATAACAGATAACAACAAATCAGAGAGGCTTTCTCAGACTTTGTAGTCTTTTGTAAGTTAGAAATAATTTCTTTCTATGGAAATAAACATAAAGTACAACATAAGATATAGCAAGTAGTATTATGGTAATCATATTCTTCCTAGAATGTTTTTCCATGGCTAAGGATAGCATAGCCCAAGTAGGGGTTATAGTTCAGTTGGCCCAATAATTTGATGTGTTATTCATGATGATTTAAAATTATTTTCATTATTTCAAATTCCTTATAAAGTGAAAGTTAGAATGTTTTACACCATAGTATTGCATAAAATGTAGTAACATCATATATAATACACACAAAATTATATATATATATATAACATATTCTTGACTGACAGGTTAATAAATTATTTTAACATAAGCATTTGACACATTATCACTTAGGGAATAACATGAATTCAGTTTCCATTTTGACTGCTAAATGTCTTTAGAAGACCACTTCTTATCCACCCTTTACCATAAATACCCTTTCACTGGAAGAACAAGGTAACAGAAAGCCTAAAAATTCATTACTAAGATTTTTAAGGTATTAAGTTGGACATATCTTCAGGAAGTTTGACATATCTTCAAAAAGGTTATTATTTTTCTTTGTCTTTTTCCAGGTAAGTATAACTTAATAAACATGATAAATATTACATGTTTTATATATTTAAATATTACGCCCAAGGCTATGACATTATTTCCCATTGCAGCATTACATATAAAATTTTTAATAACTTAGAATAGAATCATCCTGAAAATAGTATAAAAATTGAATTATATTTATTGAAAAATGACATACTGTGCTCTTACCTTATATTTAAATATTATTTTGTGATGTTTTCTATTTTCATGACTTGTATAGATTGTGGATGAGACTCCAAATAAAAACTTTAATTAATACCAAAACCCAAAGTATATAGCTGTTGGGCATGGTGGCATAAACCTGGAATTAAAGTTTTTTGGGAGGCTGGGGCAGGAGGATCACTTGAAGCCCAGGAGTTCATGGAACTCATGATAAGCCTAGACAGCATAGCAAGACTGTCTTAAAACTAAACAACAAAACTATATATAGGAAAGTTCTACATTTTCAGTGTAAGAACATTATTAAGAAATCATATACCTTAAAAGTTATGTGAGTAGTACATGTGTACAACCCTGAATTTGACTCCCACAACAAAAAAGTTACAGTTATATAAATATATACATATAAACTGGAGGTAAATTTAAAAAAACTTTAAAAACAAAGAGGACACTTGATTTGAAATCACTCAACATTCCTAGAAATTTTTTCATGTTTCACCGAATATCCACTTTTCAGTTCAAGGCAATTGAGTCAGCACAGGTAATTTAAACAATCTTTCTTTGTTCTGCCAACTGCAGGTAAAGTGTCTGGCTCCTTATCTGAGGTGCAGCTATGCTTCATGTTGGACAGGGATGAGTGTTAAACCACTTGGCTCAGTTGTTCTGTCTGCCTAACCCTGATTTCTTCATTTAGAAGAGTATAATTGCTGCTTAGCCTATAGGGGAATCACAATGACTAACACACATGAAGAACTTACCCTTGTCTGGCACCCAGTATGAGTTCTAATGTTGGTTGTGTATTGCCTCTCTTACCTAGAAGGAGTTAGAGGGTAGTGCAGTACTGACTCAGATCCTCCTATAGCAGAAGCCACTCTGAAGAGGAGCCCTTCCAATTCTCTATACATTAATCATTTCTCTGTGTGTACTATAGTAAGAGAAGAAACTAGGAATCCCTGCAAATATCACTAAAGTGCTTTTATTTCAATAAATAACCACCAAGGAGACAGGAAGAACCAAAATTCTTTAACCTCAGAAGAGAAGAAATATATTTGCATTCCTGTTTCATGGAAATTCTTAAAGCCGTGGCATTCTAGTCACAAAATAAGCAAGATTTTCATCAGGGATGATAGCACACAGAAGTGTGAATTCTAATAGCAGACTGAGCAGACATGCCAGACCCTTCATAACATAATTCCCCCAATGTCTGTTTTCCCCCATATCTCATAAGAAAGAATATAGCCAGCAGAAACAGCTTTCCACGATTACATACATATGTAGGCATGTAAGAGGTAGGATGACAATCCAAAGCTCATCCACTCATTTATAGAGCATCTGTACTGTGTTGGCACTACCCTGGAGCCCCAAATGAAGGAGGCTGATTTGTAGAGTCTAGAGTATATGTTCAGACCCCAATTTCCCAATCACTACACTATAGAATCCTTCTCAGATCAACTTGAACATTCATGCTAATATGAATATTAGTAACTGAAGTTACTTATGTCATTGAAATTACCCATAAGTGGCTATTATTATAAATTCCATCAATACATTAGTAAAGAACTGTTCTGAAGAGCTGGAGAGACGGTTCAGTTATTCTTGTAGAGGACCTGGGTTCAATTCCTGACACTCACATAGTGTTCACAGCCATCTGTAACTCTGCTTCCAGGAAATTTAATGCCCTCTTCAAACATCTCCAAGCACCAAGCATGCATGCGGTGCACATACATACATACATGCAGCAAAACATTCACATATAAAATAAATAAATCTAAAAAATAGAGAACATTTCTGAGATAAATGTATGATCAGTCTTCCAAGACTGGAAACTACTTAACAATGTTCTTCGGGGGCTGGCAATGCAGCTCAGTCATAGAGCCCTTAGCATAGCATATGTGAGATCCTAGGTTCAACCCACAATACCGGGGGCAGTGTTCCACTTACATAGTCAATAGACCACATCACACACTAGCTTTGGTTGTATAGATTCTGTATCATTGGCTATTCAACTACCCTATGGTATGGCCACATTTGTCTGCTGACAGTTACTCATCTCAGACACATATATGGACCTATGTTTGGGCTGATCCTTGCTTGATACAAGCCTACTTCTGGTAGGAGAACAAGAAATGCATTATGTATATTAATAAGCTGACTCTAAAACCCATATCCAGCCTCCAAAAGCTTAGTCTCAGCAGAAGCCAGATAAGTAAGAATGAAGGATACTATGGAGATGAGGAGGTTCTGAAAAGATGCTGCTAGGTTGTGGGGAGTCACTCAGGATAGAGGTAACTCACAACTATTTTGGAATACTTTAAACTGGAATATGAATAGTCAGTAAACTCTTAATTTCAGTGTCTAGGGAATCTACAAACATACCTTTAAAAAACTTCATTTCAGATTTGAATTTTTGTCTACCCCTTTCCCTCCTTTTCCCCCTTTTCTTTGCTGTAGTGGCATCTTGCCTTGCCGGTGAACTTATTGTAGTGGCCTCACCCTTTGGGCATGGTTTCAGGTGTAGACATGACCCTTTTAAGGTAGAGGAGCTGCGGGCGCATGCTTTCTTAGGTTGTGGAGAACACTGGAAGAGCAGAGACTGAATCTTCTGGAGCAGGGCAACTTCGGCGGTCATTTACTCTTATCTGTGTAAGTTCTTCCCTAATAAAACACCTATTTATCATTTATCTTGGGTCTGGTGAACTCATTTAAAACCCTACCCTCACTTTCTTTTATAGATTTTGGAAACAGTGTTATTCTTTATCATAAGCTAGCATTGAACTCAATATATAACTCATGCTGGTCTCAAATTCAGCTTCTTACCACAGCCTACAAAGTGTTGGGGTTACAGATATGTACAATATATCACAAATAGCATTCTATATCTTTCCAATTCAGTTTTAACAATGGGACTAAGTAGACAGAAAATGAAAACTCTTATAAAATGTCCTAGAATGGAATTAGACATTTTCATATCTAATTGCATATATTTTTGTTGTTTGTCCAAGATGAATATTTGAGGTACAAAAAATAAAAGTGGGTCAAATAGCTTAACAATTACAGGTTTGAGACTGGAGGCAATGAAACACTGGAATAACCCAAGTATTTGTTCGCAAGGGAGAAATGAAGCAGCCTTTATTCTACCAGCTAGTGGTTGGTATCATAGCACTAACTCCTGTGCATGCTCATAGGGAATAGGGACTTCAAGTAACAAGGGTATAGTAATGTAACCAATTCATGATAAAACATGCAATAACATATAAAGATGCATAGGTAGTTATAGTCTTGGGAAGGGGAGCTGACATGCAGCTGGTGGGAGAAGGAAGGACCTGTGAATTTACCTGACAGCTGGGTAGTCTTGCCTCCCAGCTAGTTGTGAGCACTGTGGCGGTACGGAGGCAGCAGGCTGCTGACAATCTACAAGAAACTAATAAATTAGACATGTATACAAAGAGATGACATAAAGGTGTTAGCAACAGTAATTAAATCAGCTGCCTGAGATTTAGTGAGGAATGTGCACTCAAAAACATCTAGATTAAGTGTGGGGTTTTTTGTGTGTCTGTGTTTTCCTTGACTAATGCCAATAGAAAAGAAAGAATTTTTCTTAACTAAATACAATATTAGAAAAACTAATTTATAAAGTACATTATGTCCTTTGTTGCTTGGTGTTTTGATGCCTCTAAAGTCAAAGAGTCTATTAATATAAAAATCTTCAACTTCTGAACTTGAACATGATGCTGACTACTTGGTTAGCATATAGATCTGCTGTTCTAAAATGGAATACATTCATGTAACAGATTTTATTGTCAGGGTATATAGTAATGTTGTCAAATCACAGATATTTTGAGAAAGTCAAATAATACTTTATTAATAAGATATTGAACAAGAAAATAATTTTTACAGTTTTCTGAAACTTGATTTTATGTGTTAAAAATAATTGTTAGTAGAAATCTTAGATGGTTTATTATATAAGAAAAATTTAGGAACTTGGACTGATGAAGGAAGCCAACCTTATTAATGGAACTCACTTTGTTTTTTTATTACTTTAAAACCACATATCATAACTCAGATTAACTTCATAAGTTGTCATTATGTTATTCATAACCCCAAGAAAATAGGTATCTAAACCATCAAAAAGCAGTCTGCTCTCAGGCACTGGGTTCACAATATTAGAAATATGCAAAAGACTAGTTGGAAATGCATATATAATATTTTTGCAAAAAATCTGAAAAAAGCAAAAATGGGAGTTCGACTTCAAAATTATTCTTGAAGCATTTTCTTTGGTGAACAGTTTAGACATGTAGAAAATATTAAGCCAACTCACCTCAAATTCTGGATTTACAAGGATAAGTTAAGACTATTGGAATTTGTGTTTAAAAGTTCATATTTAAGTTATTACTATTCTAAAACCACTACAGATGTATAACCATCTGGTAAGTCTAGAATATTAAAATTCATAAAAATGGTTTTACATAAGACATTAGAAACACACAAACTTTCTAATGCAATGTAGAAAGCAACACAAGCTTTATATGAGTTCTCTATAGCGTAACTATTAAAGGGACTCTTTTTCACAGTGATCTTTGTTTCAGCTTAACTATTTCTTATTAATAGGGATGAGGAAATCTGAATCTGTGTTAACTGGTATTTATACTGTCATGGTTTAACTTTCTACCCCCGTTTTCTCAGAACTTGAGGAGCCCCCCCCTTTTCGTTGTTTTACCCCTTTTCAGTTTGACTGGCTCCAATGATTCTCTTTTATAAAAATTCAAGTCTTTAGATATTAATTTATTTTCTATTTAAAACCTCCATCTGCTCCTTTTGTCTCTTCCAAAAACTTTTCTGTGTTACAATTTGAGCAAATTTAGAGAGCTAACTGAATTTAATTGAACCACCAGATATGCAATTTTAAGTTAACTAGGTAAATGCCGCCCTCCATTAAGTAAGTACAATGGATGTAAAAATGACCTGGATATGTATTCTGTAATTTTTATGCTTTATATTGTCAGCAAGGGATAAATGAAACACTTCTAAAGCAAAGCCTTAGCTTCTGTTGAATAGCAATCCTTAGAATCAACTGGAGCATCAAAATTCTTACTTTTCAGATCTCCTATATATCAGAAATAATTGATCTGCAATGCAGTCATGGCTTATCATGCATTGAAAATACCCTTTCTGATAGTATTCAGAAACGGATGATCAAGACCACAATGCATTCCCTTAATAAGCTGCCTGATTTGGTAGCTCTATACATTCATAGTGAACATCATGTTCTCTTTCTTTTTAAAAGATGTATGTATTTTTATTATATGTGCATGAGTGTTAGTCTACAAGTATGCTAATGTAAAATGTGCGTGCTTGGTGACAACAGAGGTCAGAAGAGGATGTCAGATAATCTGGAACTTTAGTTACAGGCAGTTGTAAACCATACGGGTACAACTGAATCTATGTCCTTTCCAAGAGCAGCAAATTAAAAAAACCACTGAACCATCTCTCAAGTCCTATATTCTCTTTCAAAAAGAAATCATTTTGCTGGGCATGGTGCTATGTCTTTAATCCCAGCACTTAAGAGGCAGAGGAAGGCAGATCTCTGAGTTTAAGGTCAGCCTGTTCTACATATTGAGTTCCAGGCCATCCAAGGCTATATAATGAGATTTTGTCTAAAATATAATAAGAAACTAAAAATAAGGATAGACCTCACCTCTGGTTATTGTTAATATTTTATATTTTAACTAAGTGCTACTCTTAAGAGCAAAAACAGTAGATTCCAAATGTACAAACATAATGCATTGATGGGAATAAAACCTTAAAGGCTACATTTCTGATTCAACTGTCTCTAAAATCTCCCCTGAGTTCCCTGGGTCCACACACCTCTAGTTATGCCCACTTAGAGTCAAACCGAAACACAGTATTTTAGCATACACTCTGCAAAGCAAATCAGGTATGCTGGGAGATAGAAAAGGTACCTCGTAGGCTTTAGTTCCTGATTTTTCCAGCTCTGACTATGATCTTGTAGCCCAGAGAGACTCTTTTACTACTTTTAAAGCATGAAAGATGACAATTATGTGGTTTGCAGAGCAACCACAGCTGATGTTGTCATCTATTAACCAAGATAGTCTCAATTATTAAATCCTCAAATTTACTACCTTTATGTTGGAGACTGTTGGACAATAGGGACAAAAACACAAAGAAGATAATATCTCTGCTAGGTTGAGGAAAAACACATATAGTGAGCACTTACAGTAACATGGCATGGAGATGGTGAGGGCGAGGGAGATGCTGCAGCATCTGGAACTCATCCATTGCTCACCGTGTGTCAGGCACTGTGCTCTCTGGCTACTCTTACATGTCTATCAGCTACCTCCAGTGAGTATTAGGGTTATATAGTAAAAGAATACCATCATACAGTTGAGACACTGATTTGAAGAAACAAATACATCAAAAACACAAAGCAAGATGCAGCATCCAAGAACAGGAATAATGTTTTGTGTTGTTGCTATTCTTGGTTTGGTTTGCTTGTTGTTTGTTTTTATTTGTTTGTTTTGGTGGCTGCAAACATATTTCCCTGGCAGAGAAGAAGTTTTGCTCAACAAAGTTTTCTTCAACCTTCTATCAGTTTTAACATCTTTGATATAGTTTAGAAAATTCATCAATATCCTAAAAGCCAGTGCCTTAGGGAGTTCAAAAGCCCAGTGAAGGCTGCATGGGATAGGTGAGTGTGCTCTGAGTGGAACAAATTGAAAAACTAGGTTTTGGCTCATCCCTCAGAATACATGAGAGCAGTGGGTGTGATATGGGATTATATGAGTAAAATCTGAGCTGTAGAGTACACAATCTGCCAGAATGAGGCTCTAAGAGAAGTTTCCTTGGTTATCAGATAGTCTGTGAAAAGTACAGAGCTATTCTCAATGGTACAGTCTCCTATAGCATAGTTTGTTGTAGCCTGCTCAAAGTGGAAGATCTAATGCACCCCTGGATCCTAATGAAAATGTATCTTCAATATATATCTCCTTCCTTCAGCATCATGAGCCACATCCAGTGCTGCTCAGTTTTCTATGAAAACTGTTTATGTCCTCAATACCCAATAATTCAAGCTCTTCCTATGAGATATGGTGGCAACTTCTCTTACTTTCCTCTCATGTACCTCCCTCACCCTACTCCAGAGGACATGGTCTAGTTTAGAAACATCTTTCTAAGCCTGAAGTATTTGAAAATTAAATCATATGTAGTCAGGTATGGCAAGAGAAAAACAGGACACAGGCCTGTCTCATCTTAAATATCAAAATTCTACAAAAATAACAAAATTTGTATGACATTTAAAGCAACCACATTCCACTGCTATTTCATGCCAATCTTTTTTATAAACGGTGCTAACAAGTCATGTTTCTTCTATTCCATGCCTATGGATATATGTTTAGAATTCCAATGAAATACGGATATATGTTATGAATAAAAGTAAGTATACATATAAAATTTTAATCCCAATGAAATAGTTTATATAATTTATTTGTAGTTTGAGATTTGAACCCAGGGCCCTGTATATGCAAGGCATGCTTTCTACCACTGAGTTATAACTCCAGCTCCTACTTTTTAATGTTTTATGTTTATCCCTAATACAACTCACCTTTTCCTACTCAAAGCATATTTTGTGTTCTACCCTGTCATTTAATATATTAGTTCCTCTTCTATTTTTATGCATCAAGTAAGAATTGTGGTAATTTAACTTTGATATCTTCATTTCATATTGGCAACAATAGGGCTAGGTAGAGACAGATTTCATATTTTTTTCTTTGCATTTTGAGACAAGTTTCTCTGTAGCTTTGGAGGCTGTCCTGGAATTCACTCAGTAGACCAGGCCTCGAACTCACAGAGATCTGCCTGTCTCTGCCTCCCAAGTGCTGGGATTAAAGGTGTGTGCCACCATTGCCTGGATAGATTTCATAAACTTTGATGAATGATTTTTGACACTTTTCAACCAATTATGAACACAAAAACTATTGTATGACTAATTCTCTACTTGCTTTATTTTTTTAGAACAGCTGGTTGTTTGTCAAGATTCGGACACACCACTTACCCTGGTTTTATGCATGAGAATGAAGAAGCTTAGTCTAGCAGAAGTCATTCTTAATGAGCTAGCCTTTAGCGGTCACTTTTGAAACTAAGCAGATGAACCCATCCATGTCCCAAAATTTGCCAAAGACCAGGATCAAGTTTGTGGATTGAATTTAGAAAAACTTGTTTCCTCTGCATGAAAACTGTATTTCCACATTCTCTCTGACACATTTAGGTGCCTATCCTATTATTTTCACATTCTCTATCTCCCTGGCACCTCTTTATTTATGATGTATATGCTCATGACTTTTTAGTGTCTTTCCTTCAGCAATGAAATTTAGAAAGAAAAAAGATAGGCATCCTTC